CAAGACTTTTTATCCCCCATCTTTTAGGCGTTCATTTTAGAACTAAACATCAAAATTCAACAAGGTCTGACACACAAGGAAATGATTCAAGTTTATTGACAGTAAAATAAACACTAGTGTCAACTTGCGATCATTTTATATTAACAATAGAAATCGGAAATTTTGCAATGATCTAAAAATTAACAGTTTAGATAGATAGATAGATAGATAGATAGATAGATAGATTAGGTAGAGTCATAAGTAATTTCCATTTTTGTGAAAAAAATTTAATGAATATATCATCCTAACTACTAATCATACGTGGCCGTTAAATGAAGTACACTAATAGATAGATAGATAGATAGATAGATAGATAGATAGATAGATAGATAGATAGTGTTATGGGACCTTACCCATAATAACATAATGGACTATTCCATACGAAATAATAAATACTGCGCCTCAAGAGGAAGCAGGGAGATCAGTCCGATGTCGGGCAACTGGCTGATCGGCTGATCGGTTGAACTCTCTGCCTTCGGGCGGGGAGGAACCCGAACGAGTCTACGCCGAAGGGTGGAGTCTCTTTCGGGGAGGTAAACCGACCTTGAACCCGTTTATACAGGTTCAAAGGGCATATTTTTGGCCGAGACCACGGGCTCGGAGATCCCACGTTAAACCGGCCTTGTGCCACATGATGCCCTCGTGGGAGAGGGGTTACTAAATACTGTTAGAGCAGCTTTACATCCTCAAGGCTCTTGATATAGGCCACCCGTTGAATATGAGACCCTCACCAACAAATTCAGGAGTTATTTTTTTATCAGAAAGATCAGAAAGTTTTTTTTTCCGACGAAATAAATTTAAGAGTGCTACTAGATTGTCATCTCGGTCCCAGCTGTTTATTGTTGAAATCTCTAACCGCCGACTCTACTCCAATAGTTTCTCTTCCTGTTAATTCATGGCTGTGAAATTCCATTCCGTTAATTGCTTCCTCAGAGCTCAAAAAGTTTAGATGCAATCTACAATCGCCACCTTCTATCGTCTTCATCCCTCTCATCTTTCACCCTTTCCCCAATGCACTCTATACTCAGTCTTTTCTCTCACTTTCACTCTCTGTAACACCCTGCGTAATAGCATCAGCCTTTCTTGGGTGAAATGATTAATATATATATATATATATATATATATATATATATATATATATATATATTAGTGCCAGCTTGTTGTGGAGTACGACCATCATAAGATATAATTGTAAGACTTGGTATCCAGCATGCAAAAATCAGCCTGCGATATAAACTAATGTTTGTAAATTAAATTTGTTTTTAATTTGGAAGAAGTCAAACCCACTCTCTAAGAAATAACTTTTGATTTCTTTTTTTTTTTTGTTTTCAGAATGATGTTCACCATGGACAAGGTCTGGGGGACATACGAAGTAGAAGATTATAGAAGAAGAGGCAAGCGGATATGTGGGAAGATTACGGTTAAGTTTTTAGTGATCTGGGAAGAATCTTCTTGGGAGTCGTTTCAACAAAGCAGCCGATTTAAGTTTGAAGGAACAGTAGATATTTCTTTTTATATGCAGTGCTAAATATTAAAAAATATTAAAATACAGCGTTAATGATACTATACGAAAATATTACTTAATTTTTAAATATCAATTTTATCCCGATATCGATGTTTCTTGGTAAAATTTCCAGTCTTCAGGGGTTGTGATTTTAAACGGTATTTCCAAATTATATTTCATTTTATATATATATATATATATATATATATATATATATATATATGTGTGTGTGTGTGTGTGTGTGTGTGTGTGTGTGTGTGCGTGTGTGTGTGTGTGTGTGTTGAGAGAGAAAGAGATGGAATGGGAATATGATAAAATCTTAGTAAAATAGATACACATGGAATACAATACATTTTTTATATTCATTTACCTATATTTATTAATGATCTCATGTATTTATTTAAATATACACGTATATATATATATATATATATATATATATATATATATATATATATATATATATAATGATTGTGTTAATAGTGATAAGATAGCGGAATATAACAAGAGGTGCCACTACGCATGCCTTTGAAACCCATTCAAATATCAGTTGCAATCTGATATCCGATGCATTAGTTTGGATATTGTCGATGTTCTTCATGGCAATATTTCTAATAGAATGCAAAAAGGATATTACATACCATTTCTGAAATAGTGAGTGCCATCTGGCATCACACATTCTACGGTATTACATGGGTAACTTATGGAAGGCATTTCTGCGGACTGCATACAGCTTAGAAGCTGACCATGGACCCTTAATGATCGTGTCTAAATCGATATTGGCTTATATCTTACCCACAATGCTGGAGTTTCTAGACACATTACCAGCATGTCTATTCATTGGGCTTCATCTTCTTTGGGATATGCGAGTAGAAAACTCAGCAAGGTGATCCCTGTTAAAATCACGACATTAGATGTAACTCTTTACCTTGGATTGTAACATAGCTAATTGGACCCTGGAGGACTGCCAACCTGAAGGTTCGTATGTAAGGAAATTTCCATGGGTCTATCGACGACACTGAGTCCGGTGATGGTTCTTTAATTGTATGTTAATTTTTCACGTGTCAGGAATTGTGTCCGTTGTCATTGACTTGTGACATCAACGTTGCATTGTTATTGATGACGGATACTGTACCGTGTTATCAGGTGCAGCTTGCCCAAAATTGATGTGGAAGCATTTTAATTGCTTCTGATGAATTTTGCGGCTACCATGTTCATCAGACATCAGCCAAATCGAGCCTTCATGAAACGTAACGCAAAGATCTATTGCCACACATTTTTGCTTACGATAGCGTGGGTATGGAAAGTGAACATTTTTTTTACCCAACTGAATCTTACCTAGGTTAGTCATGATGGCTTGAAGTGATATCAGTGATGTTTTTGCCAATGAAAAATGAAGATTGAAAAAATACTTTCGATGGTAACAATAATTCTCTTTTTTTTTTTTTTTTTTTTTTTTTTTTTTTGCAAAAGATCTCATCGTTTTACAATTGAAATAAGTATATATAACCGTAAGTTCTATTGACGCAGTTTTATCTCGCACTTCTTGCTTGCGGAACTCTCTTGCGGCTTCTTGCTTTTCATCTCCAAAAATTTAAATGCATTGTCAATCCTTATCTTCTGTCTTCTTAATTCGTTTTCTTTAATTTTTCTGCTTCTTTAATAATGTTTTCTTTTACTTATATTCTTTCACACTCCTGCACCTTAGTGGCTTTGTTGCCTTGCTTGGGGTGAAATGCTTAAAAAAAGGATGAAGTAACAATTCCTTTGAGAATAGCAATGTGTTTTATCTCTCTCTATATATATTCCTTACTATTTAACCCATACCTGGGGGATGGAATGAATTCATACTTGTCTCAATGCTGCCTGTGAGTGGGTATAACGAACGCGTCTATTATTCGCCTTCGCTTCTCCGATTTCTCATTCAGATCTACTATCATTACACAAACCGCACACCCTCTTAAAGATAAACAACAAAGAGGCGTGCCCAGAGGTAATATTTACCGGTGGTGCTAAAGAAATTATTCTTTTAATGTAACATTGATATACCTAATATTACGTCACCGAAGACCACCTTTGTCAAAATCGAACAGAACTATCAAACTCACAACACATTATGAGTTACGCATGTAGTTACTTAAACTTACCGTTGCGTATATATTACAAGTAAACTCATTGATTGGTCACGGATAGAAATGACTCAGCTATAGTTTACATGTCGAGGGAATAAATAACCACATAATTTAAGCATAATTTTAAACAGATTTTTTTACAGTAATTTCGCAGTGAGCCAAACGAACTTCAGTTTAATTTTCCATTATAAGCAAAGCCGTTTATAAATATTTACTTGACACACTCATTAACTCTTATGCGTTTATATAGATTATGCGGACATCTCTTAAGCGAAAGGAGACATTATATATTCGCTATAAAACTCATCCTTAGAACCGTCATCTTTATCGGAATGCCACTTGAGTTAATAACTTGTTCCAGTCATTATTAGCACAAGAACGTAAATCATTTACCGTTTTCTTTATTTTTATTATAGAAGAACACCAACCTAAACGAGAAAGTGAAGGTACAGATAGAAAATGAATTGAGTTAATATTCAAAACTCGTAAAGGGTGTAAGAGAAGGCCGTGTCTTCTCATCGGATTTATTCAACATATGAGGCGATTCTGAAAGAATTAGAAGTCGTACTAGGTTTTGTTATTGGTAGCCATCTTAAAAACATAAGATGCGCAGATGACACAGTGTTGATAGCAGAAAAGAAAAGTACAAGAAATTTTTCAAAAGGTAATGAAGAAAATCGAGAAGAAAGGAAAAAAACATTAATTGCAAGAATATATAATGCATAGTTGTCAGCAAAAGGAATAGCTGAAAATGCAATTTACAAACTGGAGATACCAAAATCAAACCAGTCCAACAATTTAAATATCTGGGAAGTGTTTTCACAGGCGAAGGAAAAGTACTTTGGGATAGTGAATGATGCTTTCTAAAACTTAAGAAAAGTATTAATAAACAGGAAAATTTCGTTAGAAACAAAGAAAACAGTATCGAACTGCTATATCCTATATGGCAATGAAAGATGGACAATCTCCACAGTGAAAAAGAAACATGAGGCGATATATATTCTTTTTAAGCATTCAACCCTAAGCAAGGCGGGAAGCCACTAGCACACAAGGGGTTACAGGCAGCAAAGAGGAGTGATAGAGGAACGGATGATGAGAAGGATAGGGGGTAGATCAAGGCATCTGGAGACGTCGATTGTCATTACATTTGAATAGTTGGAGATTATAGCTATCAGGAAAACAAGAGATGGGGAGGGAGTTCCACAGGCAAGAAGTGCGAGACATGAAGTTATTGGAGTAGAACAGACGGCTACATTTAACAGTTTCGACAGTGAAAGGGTGAGAGCGAGATTCCAGCCTAGCTTAAATTCATGAAGTCTGGGAACCAGCGAAGGCAGCTCATCGGAGCAGTTACCGTGAAAGTATCTGTAAAAAAGACAAAGGGAGGCAACGGCACGTCTGTGAGAGAACGGCTGCAGACGAGATGCCAGATCAGGGCCAATTACTGTGTGTCTGTGTGTTTGTCTGTGTGATACCTTTTCACTTGAGATCCATCCCACTTTTTTTTACCAAACCTGGCACTTACATTGCACAATGTAAGAGATAGGTTGTTAGAGTAAAAATCTATAATTTTTAAAAATCAGTAATCGATATACCCGATCAAAAATCGATAAATTCAACTTTTTTCCTCCTATTTCGTTAAAACACGGTATGTAGGTTACTAATATCATTACAAGCTCAACGATACCTCGTTTTTATTTCTACGCCACTGCGTTTAGCGAAAAACCGAGAAAAAGAAAATATCGATTTCAACACAAATCGATTGCAACACAAATTTTAAACTCAAAACACCTTGAATTTTCAAGCATTCTAATACAATCTTCACTCAGTTGTAGCCAACAATAAGTTGATTGTTTAACAGTCATTTAACGTGATAATTGTGTCCGCCCATAGAGAGAAAACCTGCGTAAATAGCGAAAAATGGCGATTTTTACTGGTTTCTTTTTTCATTTTTCATCAAACTTAACTATTGCATTATAAATGTATCCTCTTTTTCATCCTTGGGAGCACACTGACAAATTAAATTTCAAAACCTCCAAAATAAAGTGGGTCTTCATGTTGCCTGTTTTACCCCTTCATGTCCTCGGCTAACTTCGATTGAATAAATGCAGACTACTTCTGTTATATCAGTAACTGTATTAATTCAAAATGTTTTAATGAAACTGCTTTAAAGTAACTAAAGAAGATAGACATTGTTACATCTAAGCATGATGCTGTTTTTACTTCATTCTTAGTGAACGCATTTTCTGATCGACGAGATGGGTTTGTCTTCAAGTATAAACTATTATCGATGAATGTACGATTTGATTTGTTTGCTTAAGGGCATATCAACTATTTATGGGTCATTTAATTCTGAAATTTAATTTTCTCAGGAACTTTAATAACTTGAGTTGTTTTTTTTTCACTATTAAAATCTATAGTTTTACTATAAAAATCTATTGCTGGAAATTGTATTGTTACTATTGAAAATCTATTGCTGGTATTTTTACTAAAAAATCGCTTTTATACTTTCAGGGAGTTTTGGCACCAGTTTGGGGGTCCAATATTTACCCAAAGCTGGGACCTTAACATGTGCTGCAACACCTGGTTCAGGTGGAGCTTGGAACAACAGCAATTAAGAAACTGAGCAGAGGCCTTTGTGCCGGATGTTTTTATCGTCATACCAAGGACAGTCGTAGAATGTGGAAAGGGTTCAATTCGAAATTCTTTGAAGGTTACCCAAATTGGGAAGCATCTGATGAAGTCCGGAAAGCACCACAGCCGAAATGTTGTGACAGTAACAACACAGATTAGGACAATAGTCTACCTACAAATAATATTGGAACACATTTCATAAACAATGCAGTCATTAAATCGTAAAAGAAAAGTTTGAAGCAACTAAAATAATCACTGCTTTTTGTTTGAGCTTTGGGGAAAATTTTAAAATTAATTTTTAAAAAAGTGGTCTTCATAATTTCCGGGAGTTGGATGTTCTCATAGAGACCCTCCAAAAATATCCCTGTCTATGTGTAGGGAATTAATTTATCTTTAATTAACGTTATTGAAACCTGTTTCACAAACTTAATCTTAAAAAAGTAACATGAAATTTTACACAAAATTCCATGTACACAATACCGGACCATGGGATTGAACTCAGAGTTACTGTATCACCAAATTCACATCCTTGGATCCTTAACCATACCTACTTGCTGATGAGACTTGTTCGTGCTTCTTACGCTGCATTCACAGACATGACTTTCTCTACTGCGGCTGCTGCTAATACCTTGGTGTTATTAACTTTTCTTTCTTTATTAACGTTTCGGCTGTTGTACTGTCTGGTACAAATACCGTAAATTGCGGCTTACAAATCGTGTTTTAAAGCCTAACAAAACTTTTCCAAACCAATAGGTCGACTTATATGGCGGATATCAAATGCAAACCTATACCACCGAGGTGTTAAATGAATGGGACAGCAATCCTAACAATTACTGTACACCATTTACCGTAACTCCAGCAGGTTGCCATAAATATATACGACTAAAACTTGTCAATACTTTCGGCATGTTAACAGAGAAATTAATGTAAAATAATATAATAGTAACACGAATTCGGTATTGTCTTAACGCTACAGCACACAATTTGTCCAACAGTAAGTGTAAACGCTAACCGAAGCGCCGTTTAACTCATACGATACATAGCATTACTATGAAAAAGTTACCTGGTATAATGTGTAATCTACGGTATTAATATTTTATAGGTGTTGATGTTGATTTTAATGAGTTTATCAGTAGATCTGACGAATTTCAAATGTTCGGGAAGTTATTCTGCTACAATATACGGTAACTATGGATGTGTGTTGTAGGTTGTTTGCTATACAACGCATATAAAAAGGTATTACGGTGTCTCAATATAGAGGTAAGGGGTGTGAGATTATGCAGTTTTGGCACAGTTTATCGAATACTGTAACCTAATTTCATTTACCGGTAAGCTTATGCTTTTGGCCACTGGTAGCCTACTATATGTTTTTCTGGCGTGTGTGGGGGGGGTCGACCTATACAGGAGGTATAAACCTAACTCAGAATTTTGAGCTAAAAATCTTTAGATCGATTTGTACGCCAGGTCGACTTGTACGTCGCAATTGACGCTAATAAGAACAAAACTGCGGACAATGTACAATAAATGCAAATAATGATAACTTCAAATGACAGAAATTCAGATAGATATTACCGATCTGTTGGTT